ACTCGATTATTACCGAGGCTTATTATTTATCGTTCGCTTGCCGATTTTTGTTATTGCGAAGCTGTACTTATAAAATGCCATTCATGTCAATAATCAAATAACAAAAACTTTGTTTATAGCTGAATTAATAATTTCAGTTTAATTTAGGACTATTACGACCTTTAGGACTATTAGGACCTTTGGGACTATTCTGTTCTCAGTTTATTTCCGTGGAAAATATTTTAGTTAACGTTTGGCTCCGCGCCTAAAATAACTCTTCCCTGCAGTTCCTATTTACAGTCGCTCTCCCTCAGCACATTTTTGTCGTGCCATATGTGCTTCTACGCGCAACTAAACAGCTAGAGTTCTGTGTTTCAGACATTTGAGGGAATCAAACCTGCCGTGCGATTGATGCCAACGAAAGATTGCATAGAAGTGGGAAGGCAAGGCGGACAATGTATCTTAATGGGCACATGAATCTTAAAGGGGCGGTGCAATGATTTTAACACTGAACGAATATGAAGCTTGTATTTTTTTATGTTGTTTACTTCGGCATAAGTAAGGGAAAAAGTGCCACCATACACCAAAATACCTCTATTTCGTTGCGTAATCGTAAAATAAAAAACGCTTTTTTTCCCAACCTGCAGCCACATGGTGGCCGCAAATGGAACCTGTGGTGTGACGTCATTCGGAGTGGTTTTTGTAAGTGATAGTGTTAGGCAATTGTAAGCTTGATCTAAGGTTAAGTTTAAAAAATCTTGTTGTTGAGGCATGCAGAAACGCTTCAAAAGCATAATATTGCCGCTAAAAGGGTATGAAATATTTGTGGCGCCATCTACCGCAAGTCAACAAAACCTGCCGTCGCCGTCATCCGTCGACGCCCGAGGTGCTTACGGCGGCTACACGAACAACCCGGACGTTTCGTCTTTCCCTCGCTCGACGGAGTGCGTCGGTCGTGGTCCGTAGTATCGTGGTATCGTTATTGTTCCTGGTGTCTCGACCTCGACTTCGACTTCGACTGCCCGCAGCGTCGCAAGCATCTTGCGCTCGACGTCGCTCAGGCCGTCCGCCCATGCCGCCATGTTGGTCGGGAATCGGCGGGAGAGCGGGAGAGCGGCGAGCCTGGCGAGCCGGCGAGCGCTGGGGAAACGGAAGCCAGAAGAACCCAACCGGAAACCAACGCCACTCCGAATGACGTCACAGGCGAAGCTGGTGCCGCTTCAATGTTGAGTTGAGGGGTGCCAGAGATACCAATTTCTTTTATTTTTTTTAGTGAAAACTAGGGCAAGCAGAAAAGAATAGTTTTCGGTCCTACGTTTTATATGTGGCCGGGATCAATTCCCGCAATTAATTAGCCAAAGTCCGCAAATTGTTGCACCGCCCCTTTAACGCATAATCTTCGCGGTGGGAGGCACGAAAATGGAGTGTGTGCGTATGCTCCCTAAAGTTATTTTTGCCGCTCCCAAATGTGCTCCAAAATGACTCGTACCAATCACATCACGCTCAACGCAGAAAGAAGCAACTTATTATTTCTTTCCTTGAGTATAAATAAACTACAAAATTAAACTTGCAATGCAAAAAAAAAAAAAATTAATATTTTTGAGTGGAAAATACTCCGCAAAGTACGGTCGCGTACGGGCATTTCATCGAACGCCGATTCACCGAACGCCGTTTCATCGAATCGTTTGGCGCCGTTTCGTCGAATTTTCTGACTTCTTTTGACGCAGCTGTCGAACCACTAGAAATAAAATAACTTCTCTGGTCACCTTTCTACTGAAAATTTTGGTTACTGAGTCTTAGAAGGAATATAACGAGACTTGGGGGAGTGGGTCTGCGACTTATTGTTTTGCCCACGCATTGTTGTTATTGTCTAGTAAGATCAGCGGCTGTTCTCCACTACACATTTTGCTCCCTCTTCATCCCCGTATTTGTTCACCCATGAAAAGTACTTCCTCTAGAGATATTCAATTATTCTCTACCTTTTTCTTTTGTATTTGCTTGTCTCCTTTTGCTTTAATTTTAGCCCAGGAGCTCCCTCTTTAGGGACAGCCCAGGAGCTCCCTCTTTAGGGACATAGGCCGAAATGCCGGCAGTTCTTTCGAAAAATGTACGAAAGGGGAGTCTTTCTATTTCATATGCGACGTAAACACAGGCCACTGCTTCTAGGATGGCTCTGTTCTTGAAGCAGAAACGTCTCTTCAAGGACCGGATACGCCCTTGATATTTTCGGCGATACCTTCGGCGCTGCACCCAAAAAATATCAGATAAAAAAAAAATAATGTCAGTGCTTTTTTTTTTGTTTCTTATAGGCCATGTATTAGCAGCACAAGTCATCAGTTACTATTAAGACGAAATAGAAGTAGCAGACAAATTAAAAAATTTTATTACGCACTTCGCAGAAAAAGGAACCTTACAAATTAGAAATATTTTTGTAACTGTAATGTAGTAAAAAGTTTCACTGTTTTCGTTATGTTTAGCGGACTTTGTGTTTTCGGTTGTCAACCTTGACAACCGGAATGTGTCTGGCTCATGTCAACGTTACTAAAACACTCAGTTGGGAAACTCCCATAGAGACAGCTTTGAAAAAGTGGCCCCGATCTGTCCTCGAGAGCCGAGCTAATGACGAACACAACGCCGCCATTTCTCCCGCAGCGCCCACTCGAGGAATTGCACGTGACTTCTATTATGGCTTTAATCGGCCATTTTGGCGCCGAAACAGATACAGCGGAAGAGGTTACAGGGGTGCCACCCCCATCACCCCAGCGGACATGCCACGACTTTTTACTGCCGAAGTTAAAATGCACCTAGGTCGCGACGCGCTACCTGAAAGCACCGCTCAGGCGTGGCTGTACAAAAACAATATTAATTGTGCCGCAAAATCCTGCAAACTAAAGATTTTAAAAACATCACGCGCCCATCATTTTGTACTAAACTCCAACAAATTTCATACAAAAAGAGTCTTTTCCGTTTGTTTTTACGCAAAAACAGGCTTTCTAAGAGCTCGAGGTGACCACAGTACACACAAATAGTAAAGAGTGGCGCTGTTGTCGTATTTAGCTCTGTTTCGGTGGACGCCAGCGGCCCAAGCTTCGACGGCGAGTTTTCCAACTGAGTGTTCTAGTAACGTTGGCTCACGTCATTACAGTAACACTGCTATCTTTCCGGTGTAAAATTAAACTATCTCAAAGATTATGAATTTCTATTGCTCACCTAGGCTGTGTTCGATAAAACGGCTTCGATGAAACGGCGTTTGATGAAACGACTTTCGATGAAACGGTGTCCGACGAAACCGCGTTCGATCAAACTTCCGGATCCAGTCGCGCAGAGCGCTTTTCGCATGGAATGCAGCTTTCCAACAGATTGTGAGGTAATAATCTCCAACGAGGCTATCTGAAAATATAAAGTTATCATTTAGTATCTAGTCTTACATGCTGTCGTCGAACACTGGTCGTGTGCTCAGAGTTAACGTACGAGGAGCGTACCATGTCGATTTGCACTTCTCTTTTTGCTGCAGATACCCGTCATGTAAAGGGAAGCTGAAGAGGTTCTTGACAAAAACGAGTTAGAGGTGAATTCTATAGCGTATTCTTGCTGCGTCACTTTGAATATCACAATCATTTGGCCCGAATGTATCAATGAGAGCGAGAAAAACCCAAAAAGCAACTGCTAGATGTTACGTCATACCTTATGGTTTCAGCTGCCTTGCACGTGTTGCTTATGAAAAAGCGTGTGCAACGCTTTTGATTTCTGGACTTGCGGAAGGTGTGGAAATGTGCTCTGTATCTTGTCCCACCGAACGTACCGGGAAAAGGGGGGGGGGGGGGGGGGGGCTTTAGCGTTAATTGGAAAGTGCTGCTGTATAGCTACTTGGCACATCAATCTGAAATGCAACTTTCATATTCTTCAACTTTAACCGCCGAATTCAGAAACCTCACTCAAACTACACTCAAACTGAAGGGCCCCTCCACTTCCTCGAGGAAGGCGCGAGGGCCGGCGCTGCCCAATCGCGACGACGGATCCGTCCTCGCGATTGGCTAGCGCCGGCCCTCGCGCCTTCCTCGAGGAATTGGAGGGGCCCTTCAGTTTGAGTGTAGTTTGAGTGAGGTTTCTGAATTCGACGGTAAGGCTAAATGGAGACCATGTAAGTGTCTTTTCTCAAATAGAGAACCGCTTCGGTTTCTTTGTAAAGATATGTCCCCCTTCTGGACAGATTCCCCCTAGAGCCTAATGCCCTTGCACCACCCGTGTGGCAGCGTCTCCATGCCTTGGTGGAAGCACTTCTTGGAAATGCCTCACTCCTACACCTGGGCAGCTGGTTCCAGCTTATCAATGAATGCAAAATGGCGGCCTCAAAGTTTTTTAATGTTTTTTTTTTTTTTTTTTTAACGTATAATTACTGGGGTTCCGGTCGGGGCGTATCCATGCACAACCAAACGTCCGACTGGTCATATGACCTGTGGCTGAATCTGACGAGGCCGCCGGTCAGTCACCGCGTCTTGCACATTCGTGTGAGGCCGATTGACCGGCGCCTGATCGAGTTCGGCCGTTTTTTCTGACACGTGCGACTAGTCGGACGTTTTGGTCGTGCACGCATGGGCTTGGCCTGCCCGGGCCCCCAGCGGTTATCACTTGTTGAATGGCCTAAAAAAGAAAAAGAGAAACTGTGAGGACGCCGTTTCGCGTTCATTGATAAGCTGGAAGCAACTGTCAGCGTGTGAGGGACTCTCAAAAAGTGGTTTCACCGAGCATGGAGATCGAGGCTGCCACACGGGTGGTTCAAAGGCATTTCGGCTTCAGGGGTAGTCTGTCCAAAAGGGCGGACAAAGTACAGACCTCCAAATGACCGGGATCTGCAGGAAAAGACAATGTAAATTAATGTGGCACGCTTCTCGTGTATGGCAATTAACACGAGTTGGGTAAGTCAGACTCGGCACTTTTCGCCGCGTTCATTCTCGATCTGGCTTTCCTCCATCGAGGATGGGGCTGTCTGACCCGTGTCCCACCGTGCGCCCCGATTGCAGGAGACCGCCGGAGCGCCGTGGAGCGGCTGGAGGCGAGCAAGGCGCAGTACGTGAAGTCTGAGCGGCTACTGGACTGCCGCCAGGGCCTGCGCGGCGGGGCCGAGGCGGTCCCCGTGTGCAGGCCCCTCGACTCGCGGTCCCCGTCGGCCTACGAGCTGGTCGAGCGCCTGCGGGCGTCGCCCCCGGCGGCAGCGCTGCAGAGGGCCCCGTCGCTGCGGCCCCCGTCTCCGCCCATGCGGGCCCGAGCCCTGTCCGAGACGTGCTCGGCGCAGCGGAGGCCCTTCCGCCAGCGCTCGGTGCGCGAGGACGGCCGCCTGGAACTGCAGCTGCGCAGGCTTATCGCCGCGGGGGACTGTGTCGAGGCCCCGCACAAGAGCCTGCCGGACCTGTCGCCCTCGACCGCGCGCAGGGCGTCCGGCGGCGACCCGGCGGGCGACGGCGGCGGCCGGCCGTGTGAGCCCCGGCCGCGGACGGCGTCCGACTACGTGGGCCGGAGCTGCTCGTTTCGCCAGTGTCCGGCCGAGCCGCCCCGCGACGTGCCCAGCCCCCGGCGGCCCGTGCTGCGCTCCAAGTCCGACGTGGCCCACCGGAGGCCCCCCGAGCCGACGCGGGCGTCGCGGCCGGCGGCCCCCGAGCGCTTCTTCGACTCGCTGGGGCTGGACGCGGGCGCCTGGCGTCTGGTGCTGTCGCCGTCGCCGCCCTCGACGGCGTCACGCTTCTTCGACAGCGTGAGCTCGGTCGACTCGGCCGCCGGCCGCTGCTCGAGCCTGGGCAGCGGCGACGACGACGCGGGCTCCCATGGCCCGCTGCGGAACCTCGGCGACCACGCCGAGACGTCCATCGTGGAAAAGAACGCGCGGGTCATCAAGTGGCTCTTCAATTGCCGCCGGGCCGCGGGCACGGCCTCGTGACCCGAGGAACGTCTCTCCGCTCCCGGGCGTACCTCCGGTTGCGCCGCCGAGGGTCCCCACGGGTCGGCGCGTGCATGGGCCCTCAGGCGACTCTCCGCTGTGCGCGTGTGCTCAAGAATTTCCGTCTCTAGCCGTGCTTGGAAATGTTCCTCTTGTCAGTCTAGTCAGCGCGGCCTCCGATCTCCTCCCGTCACCGACGCGGGGCCGGCCCCGCTCGTGGTTCTTCGCACTCGTTGGACTCTGCCCCACGACCGGCGGGTGTGTCGTTTGGCCCCGCGTCGTCATCGTTCCTTTCCACCGGTGCCGAGACACCTCGGGCACCTGGGGGCATTGATCCTCCGACGCCAGCAGAGTTTCCCGCTCGAGTCGGAGCCCCACCGCTTCCTTAGGCCAAAGGTTCACTCCTCGTGACTTTCTGGGTTCTATGCAATAGGAGAACGGCGTGTGTTTCTCGTCGAGCATCCCGAGTGCAGCGCGCCGGAGACGGCGTCGTCCTCCGCACGGCGGCTTTCCCCGTTCGGGCGTGCCGGTCCACCTCCCGGGGGCGTCTCTTGCCCCGCATCGTTTCTGCACGTATACGAGAGGCTACCCGAATGGAATAGGCGTATACGGAATAGGGCTAGGAGCCAGAGCTATACGCACGTTTTTTGCGAGTCTGTGTTGGAGGGTTTCACAAAGGGGACCGCGCGTGTTTGTTTGCGGGTGTTCACATAGCCTCCTCTATACTCCCAAAGCCTGGCAGTTCGACGACGGAGCCATTGAGTGCCCGGTCGCAGATTCGGAGCGCGAGGATCTGGTAGCATAGAGCCTCAAAGAGCCATTTCTCGGGGAACCTGGACGTCAGCGCACAGCTTTAGCAGCGGCGAGGACCCGAAACACATTTGTAGGCTCGGAAGAAGTGTGTTTCGGCGTCTTGCCGCAGCGGGGCGCCAGTCACGTGGCTCTCTCTCACCCGTTGTCTGCCGCTCCACCTTTTCCATTTCGGCGGCCGCTTCTCGTGGCGATCTGCCAGGCTTTGTCAGTATATAGAAAAGAAGGCTATGGTACTGAATGACGGCGCTCGCGCTTTCTTGGTGCGGCGCGAGACCCATGCTGGCAGTGAAGGCGGTGGTTACGGGTAAGACGCGAAAATGGCTCGCATACAGCGGGGAGTTGCGGTTACGAGTAACGAGACAGCTTGCGCTTTGCACCGGCTCGATGAAAGTGGACCAGCTTGGTTTTAGTGTAATGAATTAGTCGGGCCAGGTCCGCGCTCTGTCTCTGCCCAGATGCAGCTCCGAGGCTGTGTGGTAGACACCGCATACCATTGGCGAACTCGAGCGTGACGAATCATGGCAGGGCAATTGAGAAACAAAAAAGGCGTTCGCTCCTTGATTTTTTGTTCTTTTGTATGTAAATGCCTATCCCACGCTATAACTGACTTGGGCAACTAACCTTGCGCGCAAGAGCTCAAACTTGCGGGTAAGCATTCGTTCGATCAAAGGCCAAAGAAATCAAAGGCCCTTCGAGGTCCGTTTTTCGAAACTTGGCCTTTGTAGACCGCCCCTGTGTGCTGACAGTCTCGTTGCCTCGTTGCTCTCACATCGGGCCGTACCAGCGGAGCGAGAGCACAATCCTACAGCGACTGCGGAATTTCCTCTTTTTTGCAAATGTTTCTTTCGAGTTTGTGACAGTAGTGCTTTGCGGTTTCTATAGAAAATGAGGACGGTGTCAGCTTAAGAGGAGCAAGTGTACATCCGGTGCTTTCTTTTTTACTGTAGAACGGCATCAGGAACGAGAGTGTGTGTTCCTTTTCACGGGTGTTGACAGGCCCTTTTGGAAAGTCCATCGGGCAAAATTGGTGGTCGCCATTTCTTGGGCACGGAGCGTATGACTGGATCCCAATCATCGCCAAACACTGACACCAGTGATTTCCCTACACACCCCCTAGGGGGGCCGTACACCCCCACCCCACTTTCCCGGCCAGTGTTGAAAAGTAGTTTAAGTACATTGTACTTAAAGTACTACTTCAAGTAGGTTTAGGAAACTTGTACTTTACTTGAAGTACATTTGCTGAGCATGTGCTTGTACTTTACTTAAAGTATCTTTTTTTCTTTTTTTTCTGGTACTTTCCGAGGGAAGTACATCTCTCGACTTTAAAGTACATTCCCCAAATTCGGTTTTGTTAAATTTGTATCACGAAATGATGCTTTGTTGACTCCGAGGAAATACTGAGAGGGATATTCTACTCTCTCCAGAAAACGTAGCAGACGACGCATCGCTCCGTTTGTTTTGGGGGCGTTTTTCACGTAGTTTTTTTAACTCTCGCTACTTCTCGGTCGGCCAGCGCGAGGGATGAGGTTTAAAATATTAGGAGAGCAAAACTAATCATAATGCAGCACCTGAGACTGGGGTGTGGAAAAATTAAACTTTCAAGTTGAAGAAAAAGACAACAGAGGAGGATGTCACAATGTTTTGAGACATTATGTTTTGTATTTTCCTTCGTCTTAAAAGTTCCTTAATTTTTTCGCATCCCAATCTCAGGTGTCCCATTATGATTAATTATCACCAGCTCGCTTGCGCACTCACTATTTTTTTTTATTCTTCATAAAGAAGAGGACACTCTTCTATGAGAGGGTTGCTTGCGGAAGCTACGAGGCTGACGTCATGCTCTCTCCTAGTTCATTTAACCCCCTTGGGTGCAACAATCCAGTGCAAGCGGTGCCAAATTTAGAAGTGGGACTTCTGAATTTGGCTCCATTGCTGAAGTTGACTGCTCAGTGGCCACTTGACTTTATCAAATATTCGCCGCTGTTTTCGAAAATAGGACATGCACCCGTGATTACTCCTGGGCAATGCATACCAGTTAAAGAAACGCAGTATAGGGAAATGAAAAAGCATCATGAAAGTGTTAAAATACTTGTACTTTACTTTGAAAGTCGATTGTGTTTATAGTACTCTACTTCAAGTACGTTGCAACCAGTGTACTTACTACTTTACTTGAAGTACATAACGTCTCACTTACTTTGTACTGTACTCGAAGTACCTTTTAGATGTACTTTGCCCAACACTGCCCCCGGCCCTGTTTTTCTGAAGGCATTCCCTTAATTCGCAATGACTCCTCTATTCTCAATGCCCCCGTAAAAATTTAGACACCCCTCCTAATTTGAATTCCACGGGGAAGCCCTGACTGAAACAACACTCGTTCTCGACACGAGATGAGCCTATTGGACGCCGAACGCTGAAACAGCGGTGTACTCCGAACATACATACTCCGAACACCTGCCCAAACAATGCTCCGATAATTGGCGCAGCAGTTACTAGATAGCGCGCCAAATGGTATATTTCTCAAAGACTGGGCAATGCGCCGAGTCGACTGTTTGCATCGTAGCCTGTTTGTGGACGTTACGTACCCCTCTGGAACACGGCCTATCCGTGGCTTTTTTCCCCGCAAAAGGAAGGTGCACTTCAGGGGCCGATATGGAGGAGGTCCAAAAACACGCTAAACACGCAAAAAAAAAAAAAGAAAAAAAAAAAGAAAAGAAAGGAACCTTTGAGAGAGAGTGTATTACATGGGTCTCCCAAACCAGGGTCGTCATCGAAGGAGGCCCCAAATGGGAGGCAGTGGGACAGCTTTATTTGTACTGTTCCTTCGGGTAGCCTCTCGTACGCGGCGCTTCTATTGCTCGTGCGTTTTCTAATAAATTGTACAGTGGTGCAAATGTGGTTGGGCTCGTTTGTTTTGGGCCGAAGGGGAAAGCCAGGAGATTCGTGTGTTTAGACCTTTGGCGGACTTGTTACCGGCATGCCCGCTACGCGACGGTTCTGCGAAGCAAAAAGGTCTGGCTGAGACGGAGGATTTCAATCGAACGGGCTCGTGCGTGCCGAAAAAAGGACGGAGAAGTTGAGGGGAAGGAAAATATTTATTTTCCCTTCCCCTCAAGGGAAGGAAAACCGGACGAAAGCGACCGTATCAACCTAATTTTTTCTATATTGCGGGATATTTTTCAGTGACGTCAGCATCGCTGCTCTTGGGTGCCCGTTTCCGACTTGATCGTCGTCGCCGTCGGCGTAACCGTGAGGTCACGTGAACCCCCCCTTCCCCCCGAAGTCACGTGATCTCAGGGAGTGACCTATCCCTCAGTACCCTTCCATCGTCCTCCCCAAGAGCTGCGCCCTAATCCGGCGTTACAGGGAGTTAGAGTAAACGGCTTTCATTTTTGTTTGTTTTTCGGTATTCTTTTTAGTTTTGTTAAATTGGATCTGTTTTGTTCTGGGGGCTTATACTGTCAAACTGAAACTTCCTGCTTGAGAGGGACATCAGTGCTGTACTTGGTCAGCCTGGCAGTTCATTCTCCCGGCTTGAGAGCGACATCAGTGCTGTACAAAGGTCAGTCCGGAACACGGCGGGCGAGCGGGCACTGCGGCACCTCATCAGGATGCAAGAAACTCCGAGCGCCGCATCCCTCGTCGCACGCATCAGCGGGCGGCGGGCACAGCTCGCCGACACCTTGACGCGGCTGCGGGACATCGCGGGCGCTCCAGTCCGCTACACGGCACCTCCTCCGCCGAATGAACCGCCAGTCGTGGTTGCTGAGCTGTTGGTGAGCAACCTGAGTGCCAAGAGGAACGTCCAGCCAACAGTGGCACGCCAGCTCACAGAACATCACTGTGACGAGCGCTACCACGGCTGGGCACGCCTCTACACTGACGGCTCGGTGCGTGACTCCACCGGGACGGCGACAGCAGCGGCGTTCCGCGAGGACACAGGGAGGACCGCTGCGGAGCGCCTGACGTTCCATGCCTCATCGACCACGGCAGAACTCGCGGCGCTGCAGCTTGGCCTGCGACTCCTCGACGAGAACGAGCCGGCTCGGGTCGTCGTACTGGCGGACTCGAGGGCGGCGCTGGGCCTCCTCCGCTCCCCGGACCGTTCACCACTGCTGGCCAGGGAGGTGGTGGCGCGCGTGGGCGAGCTTCAGGTCAAGGGCTGGACCATCGCCTTCCAGTGGCTACCGTCACACTGCGGGACGTCCGGCAACGAGAGGGCGGACCAACTGGCTGCCTGGGCCCACGACGACCCTGGATGCCCCCTCTCGCCAGTCCCGCCGTTCGCGGACGCACGTCTGCTTGTGCGGCGGCGAGTCGCGCTGAGCCACCCCGAGCTCGAGCGCGGGCCGCTTCCTCCCAGGCTCCCCAGGCGGCTGACGAGGGGCGTGGCGGCCGTCCTGCACCGCCTGCGTACCGGCTCCAGCTTCACACCCGCCGGGCGCGCGAGGTGGAGGACCGACCTCGATGACAGCTGCGGGCACTGCGGCGCCCACGGAGACGCAGAGCACCTGATGTGCCATTGCCCGCGCTTCTCAGACGCGCGGGCGAACTTGGGGCACGCATACGGTGCCCTCGGCTGCCCCAGCGGCACTCTGGACGAGTTGCTGCGACCCGGGCTGCCCCGGGCAGGGACAGAGCGGGCGTTCCGTGCGCTGGCCACCTACTTGGTCAGCACCGGCCTCACAGACGTTATGTGAACGCCCAGGGCTGCCCACAATTAGAGTGCCTTCATGTGCGCTTCGCATAGAGTGATGCCAACTGCCTGTTTCCCTTTCCCACACCCTCTCCCACCGCCATTTTGTTTCTCTTATTGTTTCCCCGTGCGCCGGAAAGTGGCCTTTGTGTCCATCGGTAATCCCATCCGAGGGGGAAAATGCTAATCCTCCCTCCGTGGGTTCCACAACGCTGCTACGAACTTCTGAGATAAGGTGCTTGTTTCCGGGAGGGTTATAAGCCCCACGGATTATCTCCGAGGAACAAAATGGCTGCTGGGTTGTCGGCGAGTGGTATTACAAAGGGTGGCATCACCCTAGCAAAGCGCACATGAAGGCTCCCTACCCACAATCTACGAACACTAGGACGACATCACAGCGCCGCCCGCCGCGCCACGGCGTGTCGATAACAAGCGACCGGTTTTTTTTTGTTTTTTTTTTTCTCCCTCTCTTTTTTTTTTTTTTTTTCTTACCTATATTCCCAACCCCCCTTCCCCCAATCGGCTGTGACATGCAGGCATCCTGCCAGCAAAAACGGTCCGTTTTCTGGAAAAAAAAAAATAAAGCACTCAACTCAACTCAACTCATTCTCGCGGCCCGGTGCTAGTAGCAGGGATGTTGAGGGAAAGAAATTGGGCGGAGAGGAAAGCATTTTCTCAGGCTAGGTGGCGCAACCTACCGCCCTTTACAAAGTGTATAGCCAATATCCATCCATCCATCCATCCTAGCTACTCAATTACTCGAGGATGGCCAAGTGACGTCACGTTCGTTTCCCGGTACTTTCAACTATGCTTTCAACCTGCTCCGTCGCGTGAGTATTTTCAAAAATAGAAGCAAGCTTTTCTTACTTCACTGCTTTGGTTACGACAGTTGTAGCGAACGTTTTTGCGCATTTATGATGTTGCTGGTCAAAACGTGAGCTCGCCCGCGACCTGGGCCGCGCTGAACTGAAAAAAGAAAAGAAAATCGTTCAGTGGTGACACAGTGCATGTAATACGTCTGTCCTTTTGCTTCCGGACAAGAAAGTTGGGAATCGCTTGCAGTCCAAACTTGATTGTCCCGCGATCGAGCGACAACGGTTTTCATGGCACGAGGTTCGCTCGCCGTAGGACCGCCTGCACGAGGATCTTATGGACGTGTGTATTATGCTCGACACTGCAAAAGAAGGCCGGTCTCCCGCGACACCCGTCGTCAACGAGTCGCTAAAACATGGTTTTTCGCGTTCTTGCGTGCGATTTCACGGGATAAGAAACAAATATTTATACAAAAAAAAAAAAAAAAAAAACATGTCTAAGGTTTGCAGCAACTGCCAGACTACAAAAGAAAAGACGCGAGAAGCAGCACTAATCGTCGGCCAAGACCAACGTAAAGCACAAATGACTCCTCGGAAGTTATGCCATAGCGCAGCTGGCTGATCCGCTGGCGGCCCGCTGAAAAGCGAGGGATTGCAATTTTTCACATCGGTTTTAGTAGGATTCCTTTGTCGCAATATTGCCGCCCGCAGGGCCGAGAAAGCAACGCTCGGTCACGGACTTCTACCGGATGTCCCAAATAGCGGCCAGGCTCTTTAAATCGACCGGAAAATTCGGTTTCTTAACCTATCGCGCCACGACTTTGTGCAGCGTTGCTCACAGATGGTGCCTTTTATTTTTTGTGTGTAAAATTTGTAAAGAGCGAACTTACACGTGCCTCACTGCGCGTAAGATCTTTGTTTAAACACACGTATAAATAGTAGAGAGATTTATGGTTTAGGTTTTTCAATACATCGTGATAAACCGCAAAACTTAAGCCCCAAGTCGGTTTTATCAAAATCGGTCCTTGTATATATATATATATAAACAAAACAAAAAGACCAACCTTTGCGGGAAGAAAATCTTCATCTACAGTTTTTTTGGCACAAAACATTGCCTCCGATCAACTGTCCGCGAGGCTGGCTTTTGCTCTGGATCCCCACATCTCGTTTCTTTTCCTTGCCGGTGCGGGGATGTCTTCATTACTCGGGTCACGCGTATGTTCCACATGCCACATTTTCTTCAACATAACCTCCGATAAACTCAGTTTTTTTCCTCCAACACCAAACTTTGTCACAGATTAAGAGCACTGAATACGCGGGAAAAAGTAAACCCCGAAAAAGCATCCACGAAAACACGAAACCCTACCAAACGTACGAGCTAGTCACCACCATGCGCGTGGAGACGCGTTGTTGAGCAATGAAAGCTCTAGCTAGCTAGAGTGCGCTCTGGAGGTTGACAGGGCTGACTCGCGAACAGACCGGAGTTTATCAGCACTTACCTTGAAGAAGAAAGGCCATCGGATCCCCTTACCTCCAATGGAGCATGCGCGTGAATCCCGTACCGATAAGACAAAGAAAGGCGATAAGGAGTCCGAAAGAAGAAACAGCCTTGCGGACAGTTCAGTGTAGGCGGTGTTCCCGTTCAAAACAAAATAAAGCTGTAATAGAGCTTTTCTTCCCGTGAATCTGGGACTTCATATGTTTAACGGCAGCTCCAATTTGGCTTTTTCCCGTTTTCTTTGATTTGATAATAATAATAATATTTATTTGCATGCAAAAATCTGATCCTGGGTGGTGTGCACGGCTGTGCAGAAAGGTTAAAACCCGTACGCGAGTGCGCCTGCCAGCCCGCCACCCAGGACCCAGTTTGAAGTTTAATGTTCTAGTTTGAAAGTTAATTTTCGGGTTTTTCAGTATTTACCAAAAAGACGGAACCCTACTCATATGCGACAGAGCTTCTGATCATCGGCGTCGAGTTCAATTAGACAACATCTCCTTTCGGATCCTCATAATAAATTTCAGATTTTGATATTGCCACAGGAAATTTGTACGTCGGCTATTATGTAACGAAACATTTGTCAAAAAGCTCTACACCAGAGTGCGAAATACAATAAAGCCTAAGAAATAAGTTCGAATGTTTTATAAAATTATGTCCTAGTACACTTTTAGCCTCACTCGTTGTTTTAACATAAAAGGTCAAAACAAGCAAGCTTAGTCGGTTCTGACACCATACAGAAACAAACTCTAATCATAAATCCTGGAATCAAATTCAATTGCTCGTTGCCATTCAGTGTGGCCATAGGGTGTAGGCTTGACCATCTTGGTCTAAGCCAAACATTTCTCCTATGCATTTACGCGGGGATTTGAATGACAGCCAAGAACGTTGAGATCGTTCACAATAACGCTAGCTCCTCTTTTCTTTTCCGCCTCAGTGAATGAATTTTTGGGAATGGCTAGAAAATTTAAGTTTTCGAAGTTGGGAGCCCATAGCCTTTCCCACTCATAAGTGCGAAGGCAGCTCGCTAGGACCAGGGTGCTCGAAGGAAAGTAATTACCCTCAAAGACCTCACACCCTGACGCCCGCCAGAAGGGTTCCATATTTTTGTCGTGCTCAAATCTTCTGTTTCTCGACATTCTTTCTTCTGTTCGGGGATGGCGACGTTCAGGCACGTAGCCAGGATTTTGATTCGGGGTGAGGGGGGGGGGGGGGGGGGGGGCGCGCGCCCATGACAAAATGCTGTATGAGGGGGAGGGGGGAGAGGAGGTCCCAGCAAAATGGAACGTTCAATTTCCTTAGGTCGGCCGAAGCACTCCGAGGACGACGGTGAAGTACGCTACTCTAAAGACCATTGTCAAATTAATACACTTTTTTTTTTCTCTCTCTCTTTATGCCACGTTGTTTTGCAGGTGCGTTTTGGCGTTTGAGGCCCCTGCTTATCATCTTAACTGGCAAGTCGCAGGAAACGACACCAATAGATGGTTTGGACAAACATCTCAAAGGTTCGACTGTAAAGTGTTCAAATTTTGTACTTTGAAAGTTCGAATGTTCTGTGCTCGAATACAAACGTTTTTAATCCACCAAAGTTTCGCGCCAGGTTCTGTTTTGTGCAGTCCGCGCAGCATCGTCTTGGGGGAGGGGGAGGGGGGGGGGGGGCTGGGGTTGGGCTGATATTTTCGGGAGGGGCTCGAGCTCCCTGGGCCACCTCCCTGGATCCGCCACTGCTTAGAAGGGCGGAAGATATGTTTGTCTTTTTAGACTTAGGCTAGGCGGCGCAAGCTACCGCCCGTTACAAGTAACGTTCATATATCCATTCATTTATTCATCCAGCCAAAATCCAGCGTTGTATTTATCACTTACGGTGTCAATTGCAATACTTCACTATTAAAAGTAGTAAATTATTTGATTATATTTTTCACCTCCTTACCGTAAAATATTATTTTAAGATTTTTAAGCGCCAAAAAATGTGTAAGCCAAGAAGACTTTAAAGCCTCCCAAATCCAATCCAAGCCTCACAGCGGTTGCTGCTGTTGGTCGCGCAGTCGTCGTGCACTGTGGTCACTGTGGTCGCGCAATCAGCCCGACCAGCCTTCAGTCAACAAGACAGTGTTGTCGCGGCCGCAGTTGTGTATTGAAGAAAGGACACCGATCTATTGTCAACATGCAGCTTTTCGTGCAGTCGCTGCTCTCGAAGAGAACTTTGTGCGTACATTTCGACGACAGCTTCCCACGAACGGTAGATGTCCAAGCCATGATTGCCGAACGTGAGGTAGGATGCAGCTATTCCTTCCGCTGCTCTTGTTAACGGTTTCAGATTTCTCCACGTCGTTGCATCCATTGATCACCGCAGCAGTGACATTCGGTACTAAGCGAATGCTGACGGCGATAGGGCGCACCAACCAGCCACAAGCAAACGCGCATTCAGCGAAAGTCGCTGGAAGCGCCATTTAGCCTGATCGGGTGCCAGACCAAGCGCCGAACGAGCATTCAAATGCCTCCACATTACCTTATGTGAACCTCTTATTCTCCCTTCAGGATCCGCTTAAAAATGAGGCGCGCGACACCACTCCCGACACTTGTTCGACTAGCCATTTTTCTTCTTTCTCATGGATCCCATTATGATAAATCCGGCTGGCATTTTAAAAATGAATAAATCATCAATCAATCTTCGTCATCCAGTGTTGATAGCATAATAATCTTCCATCGGAGACTTGGACGAGCGTGTTGACGTACATACTAATAGAATGAAAGCCTGTACAGGTCTGTCTTCGTTGCTCCCTTTTGCTTCGCTTTCGTTATATTAGACCCATCATTTTGTCTAAACTATTTGAGCAGTCTCTTTCACTAGGTCAGCTTCCAGATGACTGGAAACCTGGAAAGGTGATTCCATTTCACAAAACTAGGGATAAACACTGTCCTAACCTTTGACGCATTTCACTCGCATGTATTTGCTGTAAAACGATGGGACATATTATTTATTCTAATAGCATAGGGTTGAATTTCGTGAGGCCAACACTCATTCTTCAACACTAACCAAAACGGTTTTCGTAATTAATTTTCGTGCGAAATGCAACTTGTCAGATTCACAAATGATTTTAATAAAATTCTTGATTGTAGTTCATTAATTGACATTGTTTTCCTGGACTTCTCCAAGGCGTTTGGCAAGGTGTCTCCGTAAGCTTTTTTTCTTTAAGCTCGACAAACTTAATATTGAACCTCGTGTGCTTTCTTGGATTGCTCATTTTTGATTAATCTATGACAATTTATAAGTTATAGTAATACAGACTCATCAGAAATTCCGGTAACATCCAGGGTGCCTCGAGGATGTGTGCTTGGCCCCCTGCTTTTTCTCATTTATATTAATGACTTTATCTTTGTATGTTTGCTCTTCCATTTGTTTATTTGCTGATGACTGCGTTGTATATTGTAAAATAGCTAACAGCTCTGACATATCACTTCTGCAAAAGTACCTCGATTCTATATCACCTTGGTGGAACCTTTGGCCCATGTCATTAAACGTTAAAAAGTGTAAACACATGACCATTTCCAGACGAGTTAACAGACCTACTTCCAATATTCTTAATGACATGTCATTAGAAAACATTGACACTTACAAATATCTGGGCATTTCTGTAACATTAAAGGGGCTGTGCAACGATTTTAACGTTATAGGAATCTGCATCTTCTACTTTTGACATTGTTTATCTTGTCACGAAGGACAGAAAACACATCTTCCTTTAAAATGTTGCGACTCCTCCGCGTAATCGCAAGGCAAAAATTATAATATTTCCCGACCTGCAGCTGCGAGCGGCGCCCATGAGAACCACGCAGCGTGATGTCAAAGGGGGACTTGTAAAAAGTAAGGCAGTTGTGCAAATACCTGCTCCATAAAAAGTATTTTTTTCTATAAATCTTGTCATTCCAACATATACATAAATGCGTCAAAAACCTGGTATCATCGACAAAACTTTTATTATACGGAGTTTTAGTGGTGCCATCTATTCGAGGTCAACAGAACCGTCAGCTCTATCTGCTACTGCGAACAGCCGCCAGAAACCGGGGGGGAGACGGGGGCAGAGCCGGACGGGGGTGGCAGGACCCGGACGCGACTTTCCTCCTTTCGTCATGTTGATCGCTCTACGCACGCAAGCGCGTGGTCATATGCTTGCGAGCGGGTGAGTTCTCGCTGGTCGCTGATGGCTGTAGAGAGAGAGCTTCACCGGAACTCTGCGCGACCCCGATTGACGTCACAGTGCACGTGACTCGGAAGACGGTGAAGGAGTTGAGAGGTGCCGAAAACCTCAATCTTTGTCGATTTTGAATATAAAAACTCGGACATGCAAGCAAAAGCGGTTTTTTGTTTTTTAATTTAGAAAGGTTGAGACACCAACCCCCAAATTATTTAAGCAAAGCACTGAAATTGTTGCACAGCTCCTTTAATCCCTCATGGGACTCGCATGTTCAGTATGCCATTTCTAATACCAACTGCATGCTTGTCTACTTAAAACAACTTTTTCCAAGCTCCTTCAGTTCTGAAACCCCTTTTATCTAAAACACTAGTCAGGTCAAAACTGGAGTATGTTTCTGCTGTCTGTGGCTTTAACACTGAGGGACTTGTCAGCATCTTGGAGGCTGTCCAGAATAGATTTGGGAGCTTTATTCTTTCTGATTTCTATCGTACATTGAGCTTAACATCTATGAAAAATAGCTTGTCTTTGCCCAAGTTCTGTTTATGCCGAAAGATTTCTTATTTATGCTTGTTTTAAAAAAGATATTTTCACTACCCTGTCTCGAAATGTGAACATCTACCATTCTAGATATCGTCCCGCAGCGATCACCCACACAAAGTCAGGATTCCAGAGCGTCGCACTAGTATCTAGTTTAAATCCTTCATACCTCGTACTTCTGCTGCCTGAAATCATCTTCCCACATCCATTGCCACAATTCTTAATCCTGTTGATTTTAAAAATGCTGTAACCAGACTACTATAGTTGGTGACAGGTTAGTAGTAAAGTGGAAGCGCCTCCCATCCCTTTCGACTTTAGCAGTACGAACACTGGAAAGGAGGTCGTCACCTCTCCAACATTCGCTCTGCTAAAGCACAAAGATGTGGGAGGGACTTTCACTTTACTACTAACCTGTCACCGGCTCTAGGATGTGTTTCATGATTTCCTAGTTTTATTTTACTTTTTGTACATTGTAAACCCACCCCCCTCTGTAAGGCCTTTGGGCCCATGCCAACAGTGATCCGGTAGATTTAATTTTTATTGACCTCTAGAAAGCTTTTGATGGGGTTGTGAATTGTCAGCTGCTAATCTTTTAGCAGTTGGGGGAGTGATGCCACTCACCCAGAAGCTTTTCTGTCGTGGCATAATTTTGAATATGAAAGCTCGATAACTTAGTCACCGAGATTAGCCCTTGATGACAGTAGTCAAATGCGGCTCGTGGACTGGATGCGAGCACTGTGAGCACTCGACTTCGGCTTGAGACAACCGACATTTCGGCGAACACTCGGGTAGTGTTGTTAATGGTTTAAGGGATGTTCCCGAGGTGGCGGATATTTATGCGAGACTAAATTGATCCGACTTCCTTCCGAGATGTAGCGCATCTCGCACCCCTTGGTGACGATTGTGCTGCTGAAAATTTCGGCCAGGTCTGGACGCCTATCTCGGAACTTCTCCGAGACTAGCACTCCCCAACTGAGCTAACTGGGAGTTAGTCATCGGTAGAGGAAATGGACGTTAACAGTTGCCACCAGTCTCAAGTATAAACACCTTAAAAAACACATAAAAAGTACATTTTTTTTTTAGCAGTTTAGTTGGGACACAACAGTCCCAATGCATTTTTCATCAGAAGCCTTGTGCAATGGCATTAAAATACTTTTTTTTTTTAAGTGCAACTTTATCTTATTTTGTATATTAAGAAAACAATGCAGTTCTCTTTTAGTATCACCTAAGTAGGCCACACGCAAAATATTTCAATCTAATTCCACCTAGAAGTTGATCAAACTGGCAAACTAAGTTTGAAATGTGTGAAATTACCAAAATCTTCTAATCCTACCGGGTGAAGCCAGCAGCGCTGTCAATACCACCATGTCGGTGCAGCCCACCTTGCGCTACCTACGTCGTGTTTGGGGCTTTCGGGCAATTTGTTTGCTTGTTTCATACTTTTCTAAACAAAGCCCACAGGCCACGCTAGCAGCTTGCTCGACTTGCGTTTTTTTGCGCTAAAACACAAGCTGTGGCCGAGGTAGTGTAGGCATCATCAAGTGTAGCAGATAGCCAATCGTAGCAGATGACACTTTCACCCTTGCACCGAGCTGCGCCCGCCCGCATGCCTGGTATGTGGCATCACGATTTGTACACCGTGTTTAGAGGACATAGGTGACGACACAGGACTAACCCCTAAGCTGAGACACCGCTGTCTCAGCTTACGGGTGAGTGGAGTATAGTGCATGTCCCCTTAGGTTCAAAGTAAAATCCTAAACGGTTTTCGTACTGCGCGTCCCCTTTCGGGCGACACGCGAGGAAGCTTGCCTCCGTAGCATAGTTTCTTGACCGAGTTGATCTAGCAATTCACCGAATAGACTAAAAGTATGTTTTTAATCGAGCTACATTGACTACTATGTTTGTTTTGCACAGGGAATTCCCGGGCACTGGTTGCAGCTGCTGCGCCATGGGCGCCGCTTGGAGCCTGGGGACAGACTTCGTCCGGGTGACTGGCTGCGCTGTGTCTCCACTCTGCCTGGCGGCAAGGGAGGTGAGCACAACTCCGCGTCCTCCCCCAACACGTCGCCGGCCACATCTCGTCGTGCCGTCGGCGGTACGGTGGCTCCGAGCGAAAGCGTCGGCCCGTGAATCACCAGGTGGCGAGTCCGAATCCTGGCTGAGGTGCCTGCAATTGGACGGAGGCTTACTGCGGAGAAGGTGTTACCGAGATCTCGGTTGCACATAAAAAATCTCCATGTAGTCGAAATTAATCCCCAGTTCTCTGCTGGGGCGTGCCAGATACCCTTCGTTGGTTTGGTACATAGAACCCCTAAACTTGACTTGTTGCTGTGCCAGCGGCAGTACGGTCATTGGAACCAGAGTGTCGAACCGATATTTTTATCGGTTCGGTTCGGGTTCGGGTTCACGGCTTTCGGTTCAGTTCCGGTTCAGTTCCGGGGCGCAAAAAATAACGGTTCAAACCGGTTCGAACCGGTTCGAACCGGTTTGAACCGCTAAATTGAGAATATATTTTCCGCATTGTTCTGTCAATAGGCACTATTTAGGCCGTGAAACTAACTGCTGTAAACGATCTGATTTTTGCGAGGACCTATTCATGAAACTCGAGAATCGCCTACAATTCGCGAAAAATGGGTCCCGCGAACAATTTCGGTAAAATGTAAACACATTGAAATTTATATTGAGATTCCACCGCGGTGGAATCTCAACCCGCGAATTATTCCGCTTACAACCCGCGAATTATTCCAAAACTTCAGCTTTGACCTAAATCGCGAAATATTGAGCCCACGAAAAATAAGTTGTTTACAGTGTATAGTTTTCTTTTTTTTATCGTTTGTTCAATCCAGTTTTATTTTCAGGTACCAAAATTATAAAATTCTGTTATTTATTCCTACACAACAAGAAAAGAAAATTTACATTAACATACAAAACGTCGAGTTTATACGACTCAACATCCCTTCGTTTACCAGAGTCACGTACATATTACCTGAATCAAAATGTTTTCGCGAAGTGAAGTAGGTTGCCTAAAATACCCGTGATTGGTACAACTTTGTATCGCAGTATCAGATGTTGAATCGTGGTTTGGCCCTTGAACTAAGGAATTAATTACAGTGAATAAAATCATGAAATGGGCCCCTCGTTGCCATATATACCATAAAATGTGTTTTACGGAATACGTTTCACAATATATATATATGATGACGAGACGACTGAGCTTAAGGCAATATAATTTTCAAAATGTCACGAAGGTCACGGGACAAGTCCTTCCAGTCTATATTTTATAGAAACACTAAGCGACAATCGCAATGCTTGTTTTTCTAACTAGCACTGTTTGCTCTCAGCACCATGATGCGGGCGACGAATCATGCGAAAAGGAGTGGCTGAAATTGTTCACTCTAATCTATGAGCGCCTTCGTACTGAGATCGAATCTGACCTAAAACAGTGCTTACCCATGTGTACATTTTCTTATATTGGATAAACTGGCATAGCCTGGATGTTGAGGTTTGCTCTTGACAAAATGCCGGTCAATTTAATTTGCAAATGAGCATCACCCTCGCTAATTGATGATTTTTCTTAAATAGAACAAAGCGGTATTTCGTGCTCTACTCAATTCGGAAGCTACTTAATCGGACACTTTCTGAGAGTTTAAGTGTGCAATCGTCATAGTTCCATCATTCGCTCCAGTAAAAAACGCGATAATAAAAACACATAAAAAAGGCGATAATAAACTTCTATATATTTGAGAAGTTATATATGCGTGAGGAACACATAGTTATTTAAATTAGCTTCAAAATAATAAAAAAATTATTTAAAGCTTTTCCAAATCACCTATAACGTGTCTATAGAGGAGCGCCGAAAAAGATTTGCAGAACATCTTTCAGATAATTTAAAGGTACATTTACTTATACATCTTTGAGGTGAGGATCTTCTATTTATGCTGCCAAATATTCAGACAGGAATTAAGTATATTTTTATTATCATCGGTAAATTTGACTTTATGAAGTTCACATAACCGCCTGAGACCGACACGGAAGGACGATACTCGAAAATACGCCAGCTGTTGAGTCTTCGGCAACATACTTTTGTTAGCTGTTTTGCAGTGTAAAATACTGGGTTGCAGGGTATGCCAAAAAACACTGTGGTCACATGATATATCGGAAGGCAAATACACGAAATGGGCAGAAATAAGGAGATGACACGCAATTTTTTCTAAATATTTCCCTTACACAACGCTTTACTGCAAAAAGAGATGCATAGAAATGCATAAAATGATATTCCTAATTAAACATACATTCCGCGCAGGGCAAACGAAGATTTTATCAATTCTAATATAAATCACTTTTGGGCATCAGCTTGCCTCAGCTCGAAACGTCGCGAGATACCACCCCGGGAGGCTAATGTTATCTTAGGTTTTACGTGCACTTGTTTTGGGACCTTACTTCACGACTCTGTTCTTTATCAGTCATGTGCTCCAACATCTCATAAGGCTGCTGTATATCATCGCGAGACTGCTATAAATACTACACAACTTTACACCTTGGACGTCTACTGCTGGTGTTGCGAACGTCGCTCTTCACCAGAAAGCTGAAGTATTTAACATGGTTTGCACGTGACGTAATCGCACTAGATAGTTTTTGTCATTGCGAGTTGTTCTTGCTGAGAATATCAAATCCGGTGGGGCAAAATGCACGCTGCAAAAGTTTCGCGCTCAGTGCAAGCTGTGTATTTGAGAGGCACACATTTTTCTTGTTGGTGAATCGTCGTTAGGCACGGCGCGAGTAACTCGCACGACGAAAACGTGCTTTCTGGCAAGAGTGTTTTTACAAATAAAAGTTTTACCAACTACCCATCTGTCACTACCGTTTCCAGGCCACGCTTTGTAGTCTGCGCCGAAAATGCGGGGCAGAGGAACCTTTACGACACAGTATGCTATAAAACTACCCCCCTCCCCACTCCCTTTTTTTTTTAGTTGCTCCTCAAGATACTTTTTGTTCCTCAGGGATTGCCTGCTCCGTATTGAGTGGTGTTCACTCGACAATTATATTTGTGTCACTTGTTAACAGTAATCCTTCCTTGCGTTTACTTTGCACCACACTGTGAAGTTTAAACAAAATACAGGGCGGTCGAAACTTGGAGAACTTGAGAACGACACTCCTGTGAGACTTAGAGCGGCTGCTATCCCCCTGAGGCCACTAGGATCTTTCTTTTCAGGTATCCCTTCCGTACACACTAATATTTCCATGTAACGTCGGACTAATACGTCACATTTAGACCCTTTAACACTTCTGGTCTCGGGACAACTTTTTGAGGCAGTTCAGCAATAACAAAAACATGTTTGGGAGCCTGAAGGGTGTGCATACATGTAAAATGGGTCGTGCAGCATATTTTTTTTTACCTTAAGTTCAATAAATACCGCTAAGATGTAATCCCTGACGTTGATAACTTACAAAAGCATCCATTAGTTTGCCCCTCCGCGAAATGGCAGACAGTCGAAAGAAAGAAACGAAATTGCTTTCCCCTCCTCAACTCGCAATTAGAACTATCAGCCACGTGATCTGACCCTAATATACACACCGTCAGTGTTTATCATAGTCATACGCAGGGTTGGCAAAGCAGAGAGCATGGACTGATCTTCAGATATAGTTTTAGTTGATCTACAATGCCCGAGCCCCATTAAAGCGACAAACAGAAACAAACGACAGCGGCAAGCCTTAAACCAGAGTATTTCGCGATTTGACAGGCTTCGTAGAATAAAGAAGGCTATGCTCAAACACGAGTATCATGCACACGATGGTACCATTTGCAGGCTTGTAAACGCTCGTGCTAACTTCGCGAGCACCGAACAACTCAAAGCCGTATAAAGGTACCATCGCGAACATGCTGCATGTGTCTGAGGCTTGTCGCTGTCGTTTGTTTCTGTTTCTAGTTCTAGTGGGACTCGGGGCCCATCATAATCTTTGAGTTGAACACGAGCCGTCACCCGAATGTTTGGCGATGCTGGTTGTCATGAACCAGAGCATTCAACTCGGGATCATGACAATCGGGTACATCATGGTGTCACGTGACTCTCAGTGCGAAGTTGTGATGTCATGTGATGTCATGGTATCAACAACGTTAATAGATCTAGCGACGTCCTTAATTTGAATCTACGCGGTGAGTTACGTGACGTGACGTGACGGGGTCACGTGATGTGACATTACTTGACAGCATGTCTTGACATCATGACGTCACGTGACGATGTGACACATGGCTAATCACAGAGCCAATAAGAAAGCGCCGCAGAAAACCAGGATGTATTATACATTGCAATTCTGTATATGACGATTTGATCAATATAGAAATACAGCTGCCACTTTTTTTATTCCCAAATAATAAATTTGTAATACTAACAAAAAAAAAAAAAATACCGCGAACCGTTTTGAACCGGTTACCGTTATATTTTTTTCCGGTTCAGTTTCGGTTCAGTTCCAAGATGGCGGCGAAGATTTCGGTTCGGTTCAGTTCCGGTTCGGCTAAAAATAACGGTTCTGTTCCGGTTTTCGGTTCGGTTCGGTTCCGGTTCGACACCCTGATTGGAACACATTTTCGACCGGCGTCTTTAGCATTCTGATACCGCCCGTGCATCGAAAGTGGTGCCACGGGGGGATGGACAAATTTGTGGGAGCTGGCACGTTGTGCTGGTGGTTGTATGTAGAAGTTCTGCCATGAGGAAACGGCAGTCTCATTGCGACGTCTCAACCCGTCGCCAACGACACGCCAACAACGATGAGCCTGGCGTCCAACAGCATTTATTGGGAAACGGGGGTCCCCAACAAGATGCTGTCTGCTTTCTGTCGGTTTGTTTTCTGTCTGACCACGTTGCACTTACACGTTCGGCAGTTTGATACTCTAGCCCTATGTTTCAGAGGGAAAAATCCAGTTGCCAGACAGCCAAAGAAACATGCTTTTTGTCTAAGGCTCCTAAAAATATTAGGTGCTGGAGAAATTCGGCCATCTGCGATAGGTCCTCATTTCAAACTCTTTTAGTTGAC